TTCGGTAGTTAAAAATATTTTGCCAGACTGGCACACTGGTTTCCTCTGTGTGGCCTTCCCTCTGAGCTGGGAAGACTTCAGGAGGGACTGATAAAATGTTTGGGAGGAGAAAATAATCAGGACTATAATAGCAAGAATGAAGTGGATGCCACCTGATTTTCTAGAAGGTACAAATCGAGAAATCTAAAAGACACAAAATATCAGGACTCAAAGGATCAAAAACACTAAAACCACACTCCCTATTCCTTAGCATTCATAACTAAATAATCTGAGGTCTCTTCCACCTCCATGGGGATATGATTCCACCCTCGGATGTGTTCCTTGGGAAGCGCTAACGTAGCCCCTCTTCTCTTCTCCCTGAATCCAGAGTTTGTTTTCACAACAGGGTAGCCAGTGGCTTCCTGAGGGCTCCCTTTGCCCCTTGTGTCACCTTACTCACTCCCATCGTGCTGTCAGCACAGACAGGGAAGCCTATGGCCGGCTCTGACACCCCAAGCACTGGAGAGCAGGAAGGGGCTGGAGGAACCAGGGAAAAGAGCCAAACTGAGCAGCCTGGGAGGGTGGACACCTACCGCTTGAAACAGTGCGCCGCCGTGAGCACCCAGCAGCTGCTCAGGAGCGTAGCCCCGCAGAGCAGCCTGCCATCTCCGTGGGCCGACTTCAGCCGGAGGGACACCTGCCAAGGCCAACCGCCCCTAAGAAGAAAATGAGCCACATGGCAATGTCAGTAAGGCAAAAAAAAAAAAAGAGAGAGAGAGAGAAAGAAGAAAGTCATTGTTAAAGCAATGACTTGAAAAAGGAATAAATACTAAAGGGACTCTAGCCTGTAAGGTCCCCTTCCACTCTGAGAATGGTGTCCCAGCAACTCTGGGCCGGCCAGGTACCAGCAGCTGGGAAGATTTGCTGACAGGCATTCGCAAGCTTCCCGCCTGTCCCTGACACTCTTGGAAACAAGCGGAGTCTTTGTCACGCTTCATGACTTGAAGTGTCATTTTTCTCCCCACTCACCCCCTCAAGCGGTCTGAAGGAGTATCTAATAAACAAAGTGCTGGTTTCCCATGGTAAACTCAACAGACAATCGATATTAAAATGAATCAAGTCTGAAACAAATGTATTCTAAATTAAATGAATCTTTGTAGTTAGACATTTTTTTCAGGTCTCTTGTTAAATTATTTTGTTTCTGCTGCATAACTTTTCAGCAACACATCTCATAAATCAGAGGACAGTGATATAATAAGAACATGGTCTACATAAATTAAACATAGGTCAAAGGACAGTGTAATTATCAGTGTAGTCTGTATTTAGTTTAGAAAATAAAA